GTGCCTTGATCTCGAGATTCTGACCATTCAGCGGGCGCCTTCTATATCGGGTCTAATTCGGTAACCCGTTGTCATGTACATCTAATAAACCTAGACACGACATATGCTTTTACGTTGTAAATTATGTTAGCAAAAATAGCCTATGTCAAGCGGACTGTATCAATACGTTACGTGATGCGTAAACATCCTGTGACTTTGATTTATCATCATGTAGTATTTTGAATAACAGACGTAATGAGAATGCCCTCTTGTGCATTCAAGTTTCACCCACGGTCAGCGTTCCTGTATGTTAACAGTTTTGAAAGCCAATGTCAGGTTTTATTAGATCTCTATGTCCGTTGTTGTATTACAAAAACATAGCATCAAAATTGACCAATCAGCAGCTAAGTCCAGATTTCAGAATGAAATGATGTCATGTCGATTGCAATTGGCTGGCGCGCAGGGTTCGCATAAATTTGCATGCGTAGATATATCAGACGTTGGACCAGAGACAGAGAGGGTGATACAATGGGTGATACTCAGACTAGTGTTCACTCAGACTAAGGCTTCATTCTTACTGAACCATTTTGTACTTCAATTTATTAAAAAAAGAGTGAACTGCAACATTAGGCATTTAAACGGGGTTGATACCATTCAAACCTTTTATTGGTTCGTAACTAGTTTTAATTGTAAATATGTGAGGGACTGTTAAACCTGATATGATGTTAGAATTCCATATTTCTGTGTACCTTTCAAAGGTGTAACTATGGGGCATGTGTCTCCCCCCACTCCATTTGAAATCTTGAATTGCACACAACAAATGTACCTGTTACCTTCCTTACCCCCCCCCCCCTTCAAAAAAATTGGTGAACCTCCCAGCTGCCCCACTGGAAGCTTAACCCTAGTTACGCCGCTGATACCTTTAGAAAGTTCCAGATCACGTACATTTCACTCCCATAGAATGTGTGATATTTATAAGTTATCTATAGGTGTGGTGGGTACTTGACTGCACCCTCGGCAACCATACGATATCAGTTCTTCCACTTGTTAAATGTCAAGTTTAATTGTTTTCACGCCCGTAATTTAAAGAAATATTTATTTTCAATATTATTTTGGATAAGCATGCCCCGTTCATTTAAAAAAAACAATTCCACGTTCTGATTTTTCCCTTGTAAAGTGGTTGCTAAGGTGCCAACAGATTTTGATCATTCATGTGTCACTTTTTCGCTTAAGATTTCTAGACATTTGAAGTTTTCACAGGACAATAAAATGCTGCACATAAAACCCCATGAGGTGATCTTTAACACACAAAAGATTTCTTTTTGCTACATTTTTTTGTTTTTGATAAAAAAATTTTTTTCAAAGCTGACTAAATAGTGTTGTTGTAGCGTTTGATTTTTTGGCTCACAATATGTGGTACTAGACCTTAACAAGCCTGACTAATTTTCTAAGATCATAGTTACATACTCAAAATATTTTGAGAGCATGTTGACTATATTCAAATGCGGTCAATCAGTAGATAAAAAATCAATTGAAAATGTGTTCGCAAATCTGATTACTTGATAATCCCCTCTACCATTATGTACAAGTATAAATGTTGGGGAAGCCATTGATGTTATGCTTTTGTCGAAAAACAAAATGGTCCTAAATGTAAACAACGGACAAATGAGAAAAGAGGGTTGTTTCATAAAATCATTGTTGCTATGTTCTCAGAAAACGTTTTTGAAAAGGCCTTTGACAAAATATACAGTGAATGAACTAACTAGTGATACAATAACAACGGCTTCCAAATTAAGTGGTCTATAAATGATAAAATACAAAGATATCTTTTTGAGTCGCACCATCGGTATAAAACAGGCAGCCCTCATTACGTATGCAAATAATACTAGGAGCAGAGTTGTAACATGCCCAGTGGAAAATGCTGCTGAAACGTATGTGAGATGCTGATTGGTAAAATAACAGACTTTGGATCTTGGCTGAAGTGCCATTGTTGTCATGGAAGCTGCGTTCTCTTGGAGAGATATTCTCTAATTAAAGCAAATGCTCATTGCTTCATTTAGACTACTTGGTCTATCAGCATGTAGCAAGCCAATACTTATTCAAAGAAGCAAAAGCCTCAATCATTTATGGAATAAACTAAACTATTATTGTAGTGTGACAGAACCTCTCACAAGTAGGTCATTCTATACATTTAGGGTCCAAAGTCTGAAATTTTTTCCTGTTCCTGCAACCTCCGAAATTTATCGTTTGCCATTCAAGTGGTACTAAAAATGACTTCAAACTTATTAATATTTGTTGGGTAGGTCATTTGATTCACAGAAGCATTCTTGGAGGAAGAGTACACACATAAAGGAATGCATCGTATCTTCTATTTCAAAATCGTAGATGCCAGACTTATAGGAACAAGAAAAATTGAACCCCAAATTTACAAAATGTTCCAAATGCATCTTCTAATGTAGTATTTAAAAACTCCATTTCAGAAAAGCAAACAAACCAGATTTCAGTTTACAAATGTACATCCATCATACTAACCACATTTACAAACATCCATGTATCATTGCAGTAGAATGCACAAGGTTTTCATTTCCAACTTGGTTGTAAATGTAATTAAACTAATATTAATTTGATAAGGCACTCAGAAAGCACTGTGAAAGAGACAATCAATGGATTGCATATGATAATCTTTTTTCGCTTTAGTTCAAAATATTTCATCCAGTTGCTTGTGAGTATCTACTTTTAATTAACTCGTGTACACAGAGGTGCAAAATCTTTCTCATTCGAAAAACAGTTGCATTGATTTAAACTCGACAATTTTCCCAATAATTGAAAATTGAATAACAAAATGTAAGGATATGTTCACATTTCTTGCAGAAGTAGGGTTATATCTTAGACTCGGAAAGCACATCATGCATTGACTTTGCATTTGCTGAGATGAATCTGAGAAAATTGAATTGCCCTCTCATGGTAAACCTTCCCTCTCGTTGGTAATACTTTGAAAATATGCACTGCCCTATTTGACAATGTGAAGGGCCATTCCTTTGCTCTCATTATTGAACCACCAGATCTAAGATTTTATATGAAGTGGGTTGAGTGTTAAAAGTCCAAGGTTTTCCAAAGGGGAAGTGGTTGAGGTATTAGAGTCAACACATACAGAGACCAAAGACCTTAGAAATAAACCAAATATACAGTATGTGTACAGGGTTCGACCCTTACTTTTTGTTTTACTTGCCAGCCGGGCTACTAAAACAGACTCTTAACTAGCCCGCGGGCATTTTTACTCCCCTGCATGTGTTTTCTTTTATAAAGTGTCTCATAAACAACAATGTGCATACATGTAAAACCTGTATAGAATCTGAAAGTTGTCCCCTGGTGGCGCTTCAGGGCCCCTCAAAAAGGAAAATTAACGTGTAAAAGCCAGAGTATTTGAAATTAGTTTTGGTACATTGATTTCTTAAGAAAATCTCCCTCAATATTTTATGGAACCTGAAAAATTAAATGACGTGAAAGAGAAATATCGTGCCAAAAATTGAACTCAGAAAACTTCCATGTGGACTCGTGGAACTCGATCACTCGTTGAAGTACAAAAATTTATGAAATAATATTGTGGCAGTCATTGGATAAAAACTATAAAAAGACTATAAAATGCCTTTTGGGACGGTTAATTTGTTTTAAATAATCTTTAAGGATTTATTCTCATTTACAAACAAATCTAAAATGATCGTTTATAAGAACTGTATTAAAATCTGATCCAAATGAGCCTGAATAAATCTAGAATCCATCTGATGTAGGTTGGTAAATCTACATGTAGTACGCGATGTGAAACAGACTTGAATTACCCACTCCAACTGATTTCTCATCTATTCTGAGGTAATTTTGTCAGTGTTTTTAATACAGATCTACTGATTTAACGAAGTTTGATACGGGTTTGCTTTCTGAATTTAATGATTTATTTCTTTGTGTCATTCATCTTTGCCGTATCCCAATAATTTTTTGACTCACAAGCCGGGCTTCTTAAGGACTAGTTTGACTTGCCCGCCGCTGTTTTGACTAGCATTTGGCTAGCGGGCTACCCCTAATTTCGAACCCTGTGCGTAGAATGTTATTCGAGGAAATGAACGTTCAAGTTCTTTTTTAGTGATAACAATGTTCAATGTCTGATGGAATTAGTGGTTGGTGGATACACTGGATAGCCCCAGTTTAATTAATCTGTCCTTACACTCGGTGATAGACCTTTGCAGACTGTCCTGCAGCCACTACCAGATCACCACCTGATGTGAATGTCATGCCACATGGAGTACCACATCCCTTGATCACACATCCAATGTACTTGCCATCAGGACTGTAATGCAGAATACCACATGTTGGATATCCATCCACAGCAACGTAGATGCTGCCATCACTGTCACAGCACACACCAGTATGGTTCCCATCCCCCTGCATGTTGCTGGTTATGTCTACTGAGAATACACTGGTACCATAGTAGTCTAAACACACCAACCATTTGTTAATGCGTGTTGTGTAGATAAAGCGGTGATTGTGCATTGTCAGATAACCTCCAATCATTGGAGCAGGCAGTCTCCTGATGAGGGATCCATCTGGGTTGTGTAGAGATATCTTGTCCTTGCCTGCATAACCCACTGCTATCAGATTGCTGTCATCCACTGCAAGGCATGTTGGATGGCTGTCTGACCCTCTACCTGGTGTGATCTGATGGAGGAGCCGATGTTGCTTGTTGAAGACCTTGACTACTCGAACATCTAGAGCAAGGAGCTTGTCATCCTTGCTCACTGCGATACACCTTATAGCATTAGTGAGGCCATTGATTTGTAGCCTTTGTGGGATAAGAGATTGTTCCTGGTGACTATTGGGTATTGAAGCTGTAAATAATGCACCACTGTTTCCATAATAATTTTGAGACAGTGCAAGTATTTTGTTGCCAGAGAGTGCTGCAACATGTGGTATTTCCATGTATACACCTGTTAATCCAAAGTTGAAATCAGTCTTCACTTGCCATTTCTCCTTCACACATGATCTTGCAGGTCTTGGTGATTGCCTTTCTGCAGTCTGTGGCTCTTCTTCCAGAATGAGTCTCCCAAGTGATCTCTCTCCTTCTTCAAAGTCCATGAAGGTCAACTTGTCAGGAACTTGTTGTGGCTGTTTCCCTGTCAATTCACCAAGGTTATGCAAGAGCTTCTGCTGAAGTTCAGGAATCTCATAGCAACTTGCTTGATTCATGAGCTGTTTCACCTCCTCCAGCTTGTTCTCTGTCTGTGTCACCTCTTTCCTGTTCTTAGCTTGAGCTGCATCAAACATTGTGACTCTCTCTTGGTAAATCCTGTCAGTCTCTGTTAACAGTTTCTGCTCCTCCTGACGGGTCTTGGCAACCTCTTGGTCAGCCTTATCTGAGATTTTCTTCTTGGTGTTTGAAAACATGATGTCGAGTTTCTTACGAGATATGGAAGTCTTCTCTATGGTGGTGTTCAGTTCTGTTTTGCTTTGACCAACTTTTGCAACAAGTTCTTCTATTTGTTTCTTACATTTCTCAAAAGCCACAGGTAGGCCAATGAGAGAATGTTTGGCATGATCAAGTACAGAGCAAGTTGTACATATGACTTGTTCACATGTATTACAGTAGACATTGAGATTCTGATCTGGATGGTTACCACATCGCGGAATGTCTTCTCTTAGTTTACTCTTGTAGACAATCTTTCCTGATCGAAATTGAGCCAGTGTGTAGATTTTATGAGATTTCATGACAGTCATACGTCCGTGTGCCTTTTGACATTCTTGACAGAGGAAATGATCACAGTCCATGCATCTTGAAATAGCCTGATTCTCCTCATCACAGGCTTGACATTTGATGTCTGACCCTTGACCTTCCAGTAGCTTTTCCTGCATTGTAACTTCCTCCACCAGGGCACTGAATGCAAAGTTATTAGGGAGATCGGCAACCCCAGACCCTTTCAACATGGTTTCACGTCTGCACAGAGGACATGTCAGCTTTGTACCACTAGGATCTTGGCTCTGTCTGAGCTCTTGGAGGCATTGCAGGCAAAAACTATGCAAACAGTCCAGCAGTTTGGGCTGCCTGAAACGGTTGGTGCAGATGGAGCATTCCAGATGATCCACACTAATCTTCTCCAACACTGATTGAGCTGTAACACTAGATGCCATCTTGACTTCTTGAAGAATCAATTGTTGTTTTTAACCTAAGAATGGATAAGAGTGTCAAAGGTTGACTTCAATCTATGAAATGATCCTATGAATCACCTCCAACATTGTCAACACCTCTTTTTCCCTAGGTTCATACTACTTTTGGTATTTTGAGATTAACCGATTTGAAGGTGGTCATATTTTGGTTGGCTCATTCCTTATAATTTCTGTGTATTGAATTCAATCGATTTCATGTCAGCTAGAAAATTATAGTTTAAACTTCATTGCATACCGTTTGCTTCTGAGTTGATTAGTTTTGGAGATATTCAGTTCCTGAGATAAAGTCACTTTGTAAAACTTACTTTATTGTATTTTATACATAGCACGTAATAGTGGCCACGTGGTAGATATGAATTCACACTTTTCATGCTGGTACTGTGTAGTTTTGTCACAGCGCTATGGGAATTAGTGCGCGAAGCAGCGTATTTGGGATACGACACTTTGTGGTGAAACATTTTTTTATTATTTAGAGACATGCCGCACAGTCTAATTAGCATTCTTAGTTAATTAATTGGAACTCAGATCAGAACAAAACTTTGTGAGAGTGATCACTTTGATGAAAAACATGCCGCACAGTCCAATTAGCATTCTTAGTTAATTGGAACTCCGATCGGAACAAAACTTTGTGGGAATGATCACTTTGATGAAATAAAACTTTAATGACAAAACCTCAATTTGGCCAAAAATCGGAATATGACGGTTCATGGTGTGACTGACAAATATGTAATTAATTTAGTTGATTGATATAACTCCAATGTGCAGAGAGGCACTTGCAATTAGACTCCCAAAAATAAGTTTAGCTCCCCCAAAAGTTTGTGTTCCTACTCTTAGTTACTAAAAGAAACAAGAAAAGTAGTGCTAAAAACACAAATGCCCCGCAACCATGCTTATTTCCATAACATAACACCACTCTATTAACATCAACTTACCTGGGTCACATGGAACGTTCATTGACATCGTTATTGTTTTCTTTAGGTATAAATGTAATGTATTGATGCCTATGATCCCATAAAGAACTTTGGGTTTTTTTTTGCTTTTCTGTTGGGAAGTCATTGTATGTGATTTAAGCAAACTGACTGGATATTTTCAGTCTAAGCAAGACATTTCTCAAAGGCAAATCCTTTTAGCATAATCCTTTGAGCATTAACAAAGCCTACATGGAAATAATAAGAATTTTTAAATAAATCAAAAGAAAATATGGTTTGGCCAAAAAAAAGAATAGTTCTGCTTCCGGTTACCCGATCGACCCTATTTTTAGGCTGCGACCCTAAACATTTAATCAGCAATTCCAACCCCCCAAAAAAAAAAAAAAAAATTTGAATAAATACAAAGAAAATCTGTCTTTTCTGTCTTCACAAAATACCTCTCAACAACCCTTTTGCATCCAAAAATGCTTTTATTTATTTGTTTTCTTACTTACATTCGCTTTTTTTTCAAAGAAGCCTCCGTTATTACAAATTCGCTTCGCGATATAACTACTTTGCAATTCGATGTCACGCACGGTGACTATAATCACGTGGCGACGACTGGTTCCCGCCGCGCCGCGCAGGGGCCAATTTAGAAGACATAATGAAAATGCGGTAACCAGTCCATAGCTAGCTATGTGACCGATAGGGCGCTATCAGTACAGTGCAAGCCACTGTCAACTGGTCGGATTCGACATCGTAAAAATGCCAAGAAAACACCGATGGAGAAAGAACATTTTTGCAAGTTAATTTACAGAATTGATCTAGCTTGTCTGTGTATGTATTTTCTGTGTTCAGGAGTTCATTTTGAGATCGCACTACTCATATTTGGAGTGATACATGCCGCGTGTTTCCCAAAATGGTTGACGGTAAAAATAGCTCTGACGGCCCATGGTGGGCCGCTCGCTACACACGCACGCATTACACACCTCGGAGTTTTGGCCAGCTCCCCGCGTCTTGACTAGCGTTGTGCATATGGTGCGAACAGCCTGAATTTTAATTTTTTGAAATTATCGAACGTAAATATATTGACAATAATTAAAGGTAGGTTTTACTCACTTTTTGTTGCCATTTCGTGTATAGCTTTCGTAGTGCAATAGAAATAGTTCAGGCTAAAACTTCGCATATAATTGAATACCCCATTCAATCTGCATAAAAAAAATTGGCAAAAAAAAAAAATTTCCGACCGTCCGACCCTATTTTTGAAAGGCATGTAATCGGAAGCAGAACTATTTTTTTTTTTTGGCCTTATTTGAATAAGCTTGAGTTATCATCATGACATCATTTCTTTGGTTTTGAATAAAGAGAACAGTGCCTAGGGGGTCCAAAAGTGACTCATAATTGTAAGGACAACCTACAGAGCTGCATATCCATGTACATGTACTACGGTGCAAGTCTCAAGTTTTAGTAATACATGTACATGTGTTTGTTTTCTGTTGTTTCAATTAAAAATATGACTGTCCAAGAAAAAAGGGTGGAGAAGCCACATTAATTATACAAAAACATGTATAAACAGTGTTCATTTATGCCCCCTAATATTTTAGTGAGTGATTACATGTACATTTGCACATGTACATGTATAGGCCTACATTGTATACTGGATTGGTAAAAAAATTTAAAAAAATAAAAAAATATTAAATCCTATTGTTTTAATTCTAATGACCTTGGCCTTTGTCTTATGGGGTCCAAACTTATAAGTTATACTAGCAAGCTACCTTCATTGTATTAAGGTTCAAGACATACAAGGTTCAAGACATACATTATCAAGTTCTTTGTTCAACTATTACATTTTTATTTGAGGTTCAAATGTAGAATCAAGGATATGTTTAGTCCTCTCAAGCCGGTAGACTGACAACAGGGCATTTGTTTTAGAGAGTATTGTATTTGAGCATTGCCATTGATTACTCCTCTTGTAAGACCAATGCTGCACATACCGGTACTGGCAATTATTCCAAGATTCTTGACAAATGCCATGTAAAATGAGTACAACAACGGTACAACATCAAGTGTCTTACCTGAATTGAAGTCTTTTTGTTAGTTTTAGAAGAAAATTTGAAACTATCCTTCTGGAAGGTGGCGCACAACGTAGGCAGTTTACACCGTTTGATGTGTATGCAATGCACTGTACATGTACATGAATGCCTAAATATGTTGCACACAGTGCATAGATTTCCAGTTCTATTTATAGACACTATTGGAGTCCACATGTATGTGTACTGTAGGGGTAATTTATGCACACATCAATGCAGGTTTACTGTGCATAAATAGCAGTCAGTGTTTGCATGTACCCATGTGCCCCACACAAAAATAGAATCAGAAGTCACCGATGCTATTTTGGAGTAAGCAACCCTGGTGATTTTCAAATTTCAGCCTGAAGAGAATTTGTTGGTGTCAATAAATTTTTCCTAATAATCTATTTGCTCACTTTGGTTGAAAACAAATAGAGCAAAAATACATTTGTTCCTTTTAAAAATATATATATTTTTAAATCTATTTCTTTCCAGTGTATTTTGCCCCCACCCCCCAAAAAAGGGGGAACATTTAAAAGTAAAAAAATATAGTGGTAAAATAGGTTGCTATTAAAAAAATAGAATGCTATTTATAAAAAAATAGTGCCCACAGACAATGGTGACAACTTAATATGTAGAGCATATGGCAGATGATCTCTCATGTTGAAAATGCGCGCACATGGCGGTAATGCAAAATCATTTGCCTACATTTGATAAATGAGCATCTTTAGCAGTCATATACATCAATGAAATAAGCAACAAAATACAACTGAATAAATTTAAGAAAGGATAATTGAAATAACATAGACGAAAAGTAGTATGCAGTTTGAAAAATAGAAATAAAATAAAATGGCCACAAGAAAAATAGGAATAAAAAAGTTCATCTGTTCCAACTTATTTTGATGTTATATGATAAAAATATATTAAAATAAATTAAATAGGATTCTGCCAGATTAAGATCCAGATTCCTGAAAGAGTTAATTAAAGAAATCTGATGGGGTTATATATATCCCCCATCAAGGTCTGAAATACTGGACTTCTTCAGTTGTGAGCTACACATGTGCATGCAAAATTTTCTTAGAAGCTGTATTTCCTGAATTTGAAATCTAGATGGATTTTGTTCACTTTATTTTTGCTATGGATGCTGAAAATATTGAAAGTGTTGAGGTTTTAATAAAAACAGGGCTAACCTTATCAGACATCTGACATAGGGTAGTGGGTTTGGTGATGTCTCAATCAGCATGCAGGTTGAGTTTATGCAATCGGTCGTTTCAACTGCATGCTTGTTGATGACGCCACTCCAGACTGTGTATGTGGTCCCTATACAAGATCCCTATATGAAGTCACCAAGGAGGATGATTTTATCCAGCAGAGGAATGACAAGGAGATTCTGATCCAGGAAAATGTTAAATGAGTCCTTGGCATTGTCAGCAGCAGCCTGATAATGTTGGCTGTTGTTTAAACATTCGAACAGCATGAAATATGTGCAAAACTGTTTACAAAAATAACCACGGGTGACTATAGTTACAGTATTTTATCAGTGAAATTTGATGTTGTTGTATTCTCCCCCTCGCTT